ACGGTCCCCTAGCAAAAATCACAATGCCTGTCCTTTCCTAGGAAGGCTTTCAGTTTAGGGTGGATCCACTTTTAGTTCCCTAGTTATGCCTCCCATCTGCTTATCCTTCCACCCTTGCAACCCAAATTTTCATAGGTACCTGTTTTTAACAGGATTATTCCTCTAACTAGTACTCACATAGTAATTTTTTTCAGCTACTTAATGAAATAGGCCTTGCTTTTTTTTACTTTTTTTATTGATGATCTTACCCAGCTTGTGTATGACAGACTGTTGAATTGAATGCAGAGCTGTCTTTTGCAAACATGTGTTTGTGCCAGCAGAGAGCTGTTTTGGGTGCTTTGGCTGGGTCAAAGTGAGTTGAGAGGGAGGGGGAGTTGGCGTTTCCTTAAAGGTTATTGATCAACCAGTCCATCAGTCTACAGCAAGTTACATTTCCCACAGTGGCATCAAACTGTTGATTTTCTAAGAACCTCATCACTTCCTGGAGAATATCCCCCACGCTGTAGCCCTTCGTGGCCACTTTTCAGCCAGCTTAGGAAGCTTCTTCAGATCCTCCTTATTTCCATGCATGAATGACAGATTAGGCACATTGAACTGGGAAGCAACCACCCACTGGGGGATAGACTGAAGCTGCTTGTTTTGTGAGCTGCTGTTGATATTCTGGTTGGTCACTACTACTTGAGAACACGAAGATGAACCTGTAAGTAGGTTTCTGTTCTGTTTTTATTGGAAAGCTCTCCTGGCTGTTGCTTGAGCTTTTGCAGATGAGGTACCAAATGCATTGGGTTCCTCTGACAAGTCACCTATAGCTATATCAGTGCCACTGCCTTTGACCATGAAAAGACATAACTTTATCACAGATTCCACCAGTTGGTCAAAAAATTGCTTGTTGACCTGATCCATATTGTCAGACTGCTCCATGGTTGAATTGAGCTGATTGGCTATGGCCTGTTTGCCAGGCTCCCATTCGCTGGCAGGGGTATGCTTTAAGCTCTTGTTTGTTTCGCTGGAGCTGTCTTCTGTATTGAATCCAGCTTCGTGCAAGACCTTCTGTATGATGGACAAGAGGACACTTGATATGTCTCCCTTTTGGGAGTTGAGGTGCTGTTGGTAATCGTTCCTTGTCCCTGCCGGCCTCGACCCAGAAGCCTCTGCAAGGGACTTGGAACTTTGGCTGTTCCCAGCTTTTTCGAAATGTGCATCGCGGGAGACATACCCAAACGAAGTGGCATGTGATTCACTAGAGTCCTTGCCATTGTTTGTCTGTTGCAGTAGATGTTGCTGTATCAACATTAAGGCAGTCACAATGAGGTCTTTTGCATACTTATCCATTGAGCAGTGCTTTTCTGAAGGCTTGCATGAAGACGATTGAGATTTGTTTCCTCCTTTATCCTTGTCTTTTCCAGAGTTGTGCATTGCACTTTGCATTGCTGTAAACTGCATGGCTTGAGATTTTGGGTCCTGGGACCCTGTTTTAAGTGATGTAAATGCTAGACTTTGAGACCTGGATTGTCCCTTATCTTCTCCTGCTAGGGCTTGAAAAAGGCGTTTAACCATTGCTTCCAAAATTTCAGTAGACTTCTGGTTCGCTACACTGAATAGATTTTTCTTCATAGTAACAACGAAGCCAGAGTCTGTCATGAGCTCACCTGTAACACTATGCAGATTTTTCATTATTGAGTCTATCAAGTCTGATATAACATCTCTGGTGTGTTTGAGAACTACTGTCTTCAAAACCAGGCAAGCTGGAGCATGCTTGTTGCCCTTCTTTTCAACGTTCATGGTCTTCAAGAATGAGAACACCATGTCTGAAGCAACCTTGTTTGCATAAACCATTAGCCCTTTGTTGACAGAAGTACTATATTCATCTTGCCTGGAGTTTCTGGCTTGCATTTGCTTATCTGAAGATTTTTCTCCGTGTTTGCAGCCTTTTTGATTGGACATCTCTCCATAAAGTGTTCTTCCCTCAGTTGAGCTGCAGTGATGTTGAGCTGCCAGACTCGATGTTGCCTCCTCTCTCAACGTCCCATGGTCTTTTGATGCCAGATATGATGTTCACTGTGTTACCTTTTGGTTTCTATAGTAGCAGTGACATCACAAAGATTCATTTTCACCAGCAGCTATTGATGTGACGGCCCTGGTTCAGCAATAGCCTGCTATCCTTAGGCTGTATTAATCCATTTCCTTAGGTTTTGGAGGGTGTTTTTTAGATGGGAATGGGGAATCAGTTTCCCTCTCCTCTCCTTCCTCTTCTCCCAACCCCTGATTTAAAAACAAAAAAAAAAAGAGGCAACAACCCTCATTAAACTACATTTTGGGAAATACAGTTAATGTAATGATTGCTTAGCACAGAGTTTAGTTTCTGGTTAGATGGAGGTGTTTGACCGGGAGAATTTGGTTTATGGTATCATCTGTCAAGTAGCAAGAGCACGCAAAATAGCTCACTAACAGTCTGTAATAGTGGAACAAAACATCTCTAGGTTTGGGAAACTTGTGTTTCTCTCCCTTTGCCACTTTTTTGTCTTCTGTTTTTTCCTGATTGCTTCCCTTTCTTCTTTCACCCTTACAAAGATAAAATCTCCTCTCTTTTTTTTCCCTTCCCCCCCACCTTATCAAATGAAGCCAATAAAAACATGATGTGAAGGAAGAAAGTTTATGAGGAGCTCTTGCAACTTTGTGGGGCCTCAGGTGGGGCAAGCAAAGATGAGCTTATGAGGGGAAAGTGCAGCCAGAAACTCAGCATGTGGTTCTGGGGAAGCTGAAACTTGGGCTTCCTTCTCAACTTCCTCTTCTAACCAGCCTGACTTCCTCTATTTAGGGATGTACCAGCATCCGTGTTTCTCCACAGAATGGTGAAACTTTGGGAGATGCTGAAAGCCATGCCAATAACAAGTCTATCCTTATGGCACCATGCAGGGGGCTTCAGTTTACAACTGGTGGCACCAGACTGAAATAAAGACTAATTAAACAGGATACTGATTGTCCACAAGTGGCAGAAAGTGGTAGTGCTTGGTGTTTGGGTAGGATACAAGAGTAAGGAAATGGAAAGTGTTGATACGCATGTTTACAGGAAGCCAGCTGCCTAGATACTGAATGGGAGGCTGTGTGAGGTGCTAGTGGGACAGGACCCAGTGACAGAGGTTAGAAGTGGGTAGGGGGCATCCTCCACCAGGGCTTGCTTGAGATAAGAGGATACTATGGGGATTATAGGATGGCTTTCACCTCCTGGAGTGCATAGTTGGGATGGAATGCATGGGTGACCCCTGAGCCAAACCCTTGTGAGAATGGGCCTTCCAACCCCTTGTACACTATGGTTGCGTGTTGTATAGCGGTGGTTCCATGAAGCAGTCTTCCTCATTGGCATTTTCCACAGACAGGGTCACTGAAAGCAGCTTTCTGGGTCCTGAGGAAGCTGTGATAGAAGACTAGCAGTCCACTGAGATCTCAAGGGAGAACTCTTGCCTGGCAAAGCTGGTCATTGCCTATGAATGCTGAACCACTTAGTCTGAAATCAGGCAGAAGATAGAGCAGGGTGATGCCTTAGAAGTAACACAGCTAACCACCTCATAGACATGCCAGTACATCTAATGTGGACCCAAGCATCCCAGTGCAAAGCTTTCTCACACCAGTATTTCTGAATTCATGTGGGAATCCTAGCAACACTATTAAGTAGCTTTCTGCAAATATAACAGCACAGCAAGCAAGCAAGGAAGGACTGTACACCTGGATGCATAAGCCACTGAAACTGGATACCAGCTTCTCTGGCACATATTGCAGAGAAAGGGTGCTGGCACTTGGTTTCCTTAATAGCATTGTGGGGCTGAGGACAGACCAACTGGAAAGCACAACCAAAACGTCTATTGGTAGAAAGAACAGTTGTTGAAAGTAATCATTGTATACGTTTATGTTGTATGGACAGGGATCCTGGTTTTCACTGTTTAAAAATTGCAAATTCTGTAATTTAAAGAAAGGGGACAAGAAGGAAAGAAATCTATCATTAAAAAACCCTAAATCCGCAATCAAAATGAAACACCACTCTGTGTGTGTGTGTGTGTGTGT